TGTTCCCCTAGAAAAAGAGATGATAATATAGCCATTTTTGCAGATTCTCTTGAGTGAGATCACAGTAAGTTCCTCCATAGAATGATGTTAACTCAAGCATTTTAGTTAAAATGGTTTTTAAAGACTTGCAAGCTTTTTGTTTAAATTGCTGGATACTGTCCTTAATTATGATGCAGTCCTTCCCTGGAGGTCTGAGGAATAATTACAGAGAGGGAAATACATTAAATCCCTTGACTTGTAGTTACTTGCCATGATTGAGAATGTATATAATCATCTTTTGATGAGGAAATCTAAGCAAGCTGTCAGACCATTAGTATGGTGCTCTTTTACATACAATACTGAGCTTTAATTTTTCAAAGTTATATTATAATGTAGGTAAGAAATTAAGGATCTGTTTGTCTGAGATACTCATGGACTGCATGGGACCTAATTGTTACGTGATGATCAAGATGTAGCCAGGGCAAGAAGCCCTTTTGGTTTGTGAGAAAATTTTAAAATGGTTTAGCATCATTTTATAGTTTAAGAGTGCAGTAGAGAAATAATATTTAAACTTTCCGTGTCTCCTGTAGTCTACGTTTTGGCTTAGATTGCTTTAGATATCTAATAACCATCACAGCCCATACTCCTGTTTACTGCCTCCAGACGCCTCTTATCTAGTCATTTCCCTAGAGCCCAGACCGCACACTTGGGAATCTTGCACTGTCGTGTCCTTCTGCCTTCTGGAGCTCTGGGCCCTGCAGGGTAGCACAGCCTGGCCTCAGCCCATTCTCTTCTCCTTATAGGTTCTCTCAAAGCTGGTAATTGAGTCTTAAACTATGCTGAAACTCGGTCAGTCCCATGAAGAACATTTTTAATCTTCACCAGAGTTTAGTCAGAAGCATTCAAAGGAATTGCTGAACTTTTCTTTGTAAATAGTTTTATTTAAAGTTGATGAAATTTAAAAAGTTACATTTGAGTTATGATGTGTGGAACCTGTTCTCAGTGCATTTGCTCTTCCACTTAAAAAGAAATTCAGGTACTACTTTATAGAACACCATTCTGTTGATTTTTGTCAGTGGTTGGGTTATTTATTCTGTGGGATAACAGAATGTTCTGCAAACATGGCTGGTGTCAAAGCTGTATTGCTGTCTGATTCACTTCAGGGTCATTTAAAGTAAGCCTAAACGCCAGTAGGGTGGTGGTGTTTCAACAAATATCTAGGAAGAAATATCAGTACTAATATTGCACTCTCAGTAGCAATCAGATAGTCCTGGGTCTGACTCTGTGGCGACATCCCCATCGTCTTCAGGAAAAAAGGCACCTGTCCCACCAACACCATTCTGTGAGCACACGGGCACCCCTTCTGTCTCTGGTCCCCTATTGTGTCAACATACCCTATTGTGTCAACACTTCATTTGTTCTTCCAGGAGTTTTGGAAAGTAGGGTTAGGCATTAGTTTCCATAGAAAGAGATTAAATACACATGGGCCCCTAGCAGTCTCAAATGGTAGTAAATCAGTGACTGCCTGGAAGCTGGGTGTTAGCGCCCTAAATGCTACAGGCAGTGGTATGTCTTTTAATTGAACTCTTGCTAGAATGGTGTATGCTCCCAGGATAGTCACATGTGTGTTCTCTGTCTGTTCCATTCAGCACATGCTTAGCGTGGTGTAGCTCCTTTACAGCGTGGAGTCTGTGTGGTGCTGATGTGCCTTCCTTCCCCTCCACCCTCCTCAGGTTGTGTCCATGGGTCAGTAGAGCCATGGATGGGGGAGGGGGTGTGTGTCTCCAGATCAGCCCCACACCCAAATGGAAGAGTTTAGGAGTGTTTGTATTTGGGGTTGCCTTTCTTACAAATCCTCTATCAAGAGTAGAATGGCATCCCATATATATGTGAAAACTACAGCATAAATTTCCAAATTTCACCAAAGTAACATCTCACTTTGTTTATTTTCTAAGAAGAAGTACAACCTAACACCTCAACCCTGGAATTTACTGGCCAGCAAAGCTACTTGAGGGGCAGGTTCTGGGCTCCTGGAAGGTAGGGAGGGGGGACAACTGGGTCACACGACTTAGACAGTTTTAGTCTTAGGGATCTCACACCTGGTCACACGTCATCTGCACGTCTGTTTAAAAGGCATTAATGTTAGGGGTCTGCTGCATTTGTGTCTTGCACTTTTTCATTTGTATGGTTTTCAGATTGTTGTGGCATACATACAGTTTTATCCTGTGTCCTTACTTACACTGAATTATACCTGTTCCTCTGATGGCCGCAGAACTTCCAGCCTACCTCTCTTCACGCTGCATTCAGTAGGAACTGTGCTGCATGTTACGGAAACCTTCCCTTCCTTGGGGCTGTGAAGGTGGCTTCTGGTTCTCCGCGTTCTGAACAATGCTGTGTGGTGTCAGGCCTTTTTTGTGCTGAAGCCTCCTTCCTGTGTTTCGTGTGTTAACAGATGTGGGCAAAAGGTGGGATTCGGGGTCTGAGGCGAATGCAGGAGCTGGTCTGCCCTCTTCACTGCAGGGCAGCCCCTGCCCTCTCTCCAGTGTGCTCAGGAGCACCGCCTTCTTCGCGGTTCTCCAGTGCTCCCTTCTCTTCCTCCACGGCTCTTCTGCCACTTGTTCCCTCCGTGCCTCTCCCTGCTGCTTGGAGAGACTCGCCTCTCGCAGGCTTCGCGGGGCAGTCGCTGAGTTCTTTCCTGCGTGTGGCACAGGGAAGCTGTGGGGAGCAGCCAGCTCCAGCAGGCAGGGTGGGCCAGAGTCCTCTGCTCTCAGCCACTCATGCCTTTGAGGGCAGGGCTGCTGCTCTTTCTATGAGGTGCTGCTGCGTTTACTCTGCAGTTTCCTGAAGATCAGCCTCTGAACTGCTTTTAAAAAGCATATAAGTACTATCCAAAAAACCAAGATTATGGATTAGGTAAATTGATGTTAAGTATGTGTCAGAATTTATTGGTATCAAGGGAACTAGTGGGTGACAGAAGAATGTATGGTAAAGAAAGTATGAACATGGAAGGGTTATATAGGTGGGAAGGAGGATGCTACATAGGCAGCTAATTAAGGAAATAAATACACACACAGTTTCATTTCACATTCATAAAAATGTATTAAAACAGGTATTAAAAGGTATTAAAACAGAAGGCTGTGAGAAGACGGTATGAAATGACAGATGGCCCAGCAGAGAAAACAGAAAACCCATCCAGAAAGCAGATCCTGAGCCTCAGGGTGGGCCTGCAGTTACCAATAGCAGCACGAGAGACAGGCAGCAGACATGTGCTGAGCGCCAGGCAGAGACTTGTTCTAGCTTAACTGCCTATTTTCAGTGATATGTCTCAAGCTGCAAACAAAGATACAGAATATAGCTTCTCCATTTCTTAGTTTGAGGGACATTTGCTTTCTTCTGATAGTGTGGAGGTAAGAGGACTGGAAAAACCAGTCTTATGGCCTGAAGTGATTACCTGATTATAGGTGGTGGGACTTGCCAGAAATGGCTTCCTGGTCAAGTAATTCAGATAAGTTTATTTCCTGCTCAGTAAGAAAAAAAGTCTGGAGGCCAGGCATCAGGGCTACTGGGGCATCTCTGAGGCACTGGCCCTACGAGCAAGCAGGAGAATGGTCCTATTGCCTGGGGAGGGGGAGGTTGGGGGGACAGGCACCTGAAGCAGAGAAAACAGCCGTTTACGCTCTTGTTTTTCTCAGATTTAGAGAAATAGCGGGATCCTTAGAAGCAGCAGATGTCCTGGAAGATGCACCAGGTAACATCCTCAGAGTGACAAAGGCTATCGTTAAGTTAATGCCATTCACCAAGTCTTCTTGGTGGCCTTAGCGCCCTGGGAGCACTTTGACCTTTTGCTGTCTTCCGGTAGTGTTACTTGCTCAGTCGTGTCCAACTCTTTGCAACCCCATGGATTGTAGTGTACCAGGCTCCTCTGTCCATGAAATTCTCCAAGCAAGATTACTGGAGTGGGTAGCCATTCCTGACCCAGGGATCAAACCCAGGTCTCCTGCGTTGCATGCAGATGATTTACCGTCGGAGCCACCGGGAAGTACGTTAGACCCTGAAGATAGTTTAAGTTCTTTTTTAAAAAAAGGTTTCTAGAGCTTCCGGCTGTATAGAGACGATGTAAAGAATGCTTTAAGAAAACGGGAAGGAGACCACATTTTCGCTTCTGAATATAATGTGTCAAGGGGATGTAACTCCTGCTGTGCTTAAGTGACAGCCTTTTTTTTAGCCTTGTGGCTGCCCTCCAGTTCCCTCTCAAGCTGAAGGAAGGATCAGAATGTCCCTTCCCTCCAGAGGATGATTCTCAGCTCTTGGACTGCTGCCTCAGGCCTCCGGAGGCCTTGGCCCAGTCCTGGGTCAGTGGGCGGGTGACTGGGGTCAGCCTACGCTTTCCAGACGTGTTTGCATCTAGTCATGTGTTAGGCGTCCCTGGTGACTGCTCACCTAGGTGGCTGTTCCTGTAGCCACAAAGCTCCACTCCACCGTGCTCCCTTCTGTGCGGCCAAGTTCCATCTAGACTGCACTCTTTTAGCCTCAAAAGTTCATTTTCAGCTGTCTTTGCAAAAGTAGCCATGTGTAATTGACTTCCTATATTTAAATAGCATATTCAGGAGTGGAAGAGAAGACAGGATAAATTCAAAACCAAAGATTAAACCCTTGCAAGTGACTGCCACTCCAATTCACATTTGTTGCTTTACTATAAAGTACCTGTTAACTGATTATTTCTGATTGTTATATATGTTTAATATGCATCAAATACCTGGGAGAAGGACTCATGGAAAATTAGAAAACAGCGTTACAGGCCTCTTGGCTGTCTACTCCACCTCCCTAAATCTCTGCTGACCTCATAGGATTCTTCAGAATGTCATTGGCTTCACTCTTGGCTTGTCCGTTGAAGATTTTAGCTGTTAGTCCTTCCGCTGCAACTCCTTAACTGTGCGTTTTTAGCTCTAGCTGGGAGCTTGTATCGCCTTTTGGCTTCTCATAGGACATGGAGCAGCCTTCAGAGGTGCTAGTCTGACAAGATGTTCTTGCCGCTGCTGGCGCATCATCTGTGTATGCTGACGCTGCAGATTCTGGCGCGATACTCCAAATTTGTCAAGGAGGTGAGGGCTGGCTGGTGCTCATCCGTAATCAAGACTGAAATGAATTAAAGATAGGTTAAACTAAACGTGCCAAGATTTTTAAAGCCCATGTGGTCATGAGAGGTTGATGCAGGGGCTATAGTCCAACTTCCCAAGTTTCTATCCATTTCACTGGATTTCCTTTTCACTCTTGTTTATGTGATCTTTAGGGGCATCAGTTGTCACATATTCATTGCTTTATCTTTTTGAAAAGCACCGCATTGACCTCATTTTCCCTTAGGAAAACCAGAATCTTTTTATGGTGCCTCCGATACAGAGGCACCATAAAACAGAGATGATAATTTTAATGAAGATGATAAAAATATGCATATTTTTTCCTTAATATTGGAAATTGAAAAACACCAAGTGGCTGAGATTAGAAGGTCATAAAGTTGATTAACCTTGCCTTCGTTTCAGAAACCCTTTTCAGCTTGGCTGTATTAGGTATTCACATGCCTATGATGACTGATTAGTTTCTGTGCATAAAGCCACAGTGATCCAGTGCTGAGCACCTGGCCCCACCAGGTCCGCTCCAGGTCTCAGAGATGCCTGCTGCACAGACAGCTTAGTGATAGACACACACCCCGGCCAGTGCAAGGTGATAAGTATAAGAGAGCATGAGTGTAGAAAAGATGACATGGAGAAGCCATCATCCACGGACACGGAAGCACTCTGTCAACTGGAGGAGAGTGTTTCAGCGGAAAAAGCACAGGCTTCAAGTCAAAGTCAGACCTTGGCCCTGCTGCTTTTTAATTTTGTGGTCTTAGGGAAATTAGCTGAATCTCAGATTCTTCGTCTGTAAAATAGGAACACAGCTTCTACATGTGCTTGTTGTGAGGTGAGGAGTAAAGAGATTTCTTGCCCAGCAAACTGATAACAAAGGCGCCCAGCAGATAATGGTGCTGCATCCACGTTCCTCTCCTCTTCCTCCTTTGCCTCCCCCTGCTCAGAGGAGTCTCAGTAGAGCACCCTGCCCTGTGAAACTGTTCATGAAGATCGTGCAGTTCCTGGGACACCGTGGACTTGATATGATCCTCTGAGGCCTGGGCTTGCTTCATCATCCCCAGCAAGATGCAGCCAGTGATTATTCTTACACCTAGAATATTCCATTCTTTTCTCGATGCAAGGGCTCTGCTCTTAGGTTTTTTTCCCTTGTAGCAGTCCATTATGCAGAGGACACTTATGTTGTTTGTATTATTTGAAGCATAATTGAGGTTGAGACTTTTTTTATCCTTATGATAATAATTTATTAAATAAATACAGTAAATTGTTTACCTTAAGCAGTAAATTAACTTTTTAAAACATATGATGTTCCGGATCTTAATTTTCCTTTAGTTTCAGGACCTCTTGCTTTCTTTCTAACTGTTACTTAAGTCAAGGAGGGGAAATGCACATAGGGTCAAAGTTTGTCCTGTTTCTGTTTTTCACACCTACCTGGAGAGACAGGATGTGGTATCCTTTCTTGAGTTAACTTTCACTTAATACTTTGTCGACAGCTGGCATTTTGTGTTGAGTTACATGCTCATGTATCTTGCAGGTGGAAACATTTTATCGCTGAAATCCTTTTTCAGCTTTTACTCGGGCCCATCTCTAATGAAAGTGCTAAGGATATTAAAAAGCCTTTGGTGGGTGGAGAGGGAGGTGGGAGGGGGGACCAGGATGGGGAATACATGTAAATCCATGGCTAATTCATTTCAATGTATGACAAAAACCAATGCAATGTTGTAAAGTAATTAGCCTCCAACTAATAAAAATAAATGGAAAAAAAAAAAAAGAAAAGGAAAAATAAATAAATAAAAAGCCTTTGGTAACTGACAGCAACAATCTTTCTATCACCCAAGGAAATTGCGAAGACCAAGCAAGTGGCCCTTCTGAAGCAAAGCCCATCGTCTCCATTTCCAGCACTCAGCTTGTCTGTGTGGTCACAGACCTGGACAGGCTTCAGGAGCAGGCGAGCCTGTGTCGCAGAGGATTCTAAGTGTGGGGTTCAGTGTTCTCACTGTCTGGCCTCATGGGGTTTAGACCTGTGGGCCCAGGGCCCCTGAGAGAGAGCATCCTTTCCCTCCCTCTGGCGTTGCCTCCACCCCCTGACTGGCACGCTGTCCTCCTCGGGTAGCAGCCTGTCTACCGCGTGCCTGCCTGGAGCCCCGGCTTCCCCTGAGCAGTGACGCCACAGGCCAGGGCAAGCCAGGCCCTCATTAGCTCAGCTCACCCTGTGGAGCCATGGTCTTTAATGGGTTGGATTCTAATTGTTTCTAGTCTACTTACTCAGTACTTATCCTTTAAAAGTGCTGAACAATTAAAACGTCTTCCTATTTCCTCCACGTAGGTTTCGTGTTCTTGCTTTTACCATTAACAGAACTTTGTTTAAGAACAGAATGTGTTTAAGTGCTCTGATACATAATTCTGCTTTTTTCAGGTGTAAGTGTTTTGTGGTGCTTAGACAAATACTGTATGTGTTGAGCAAAAACATGATCTTTGTCATAAGGTTTTTTTGGTATTGAGGGGAGCTACAGAATAGTGTTAATAGCCATGAAAACATGATTTTCCATGTTGTTGAATTATTTTCTACTGAAAGCACTAATGAAGAATTTTGTTTTCTTCTGGTGAAAGTTACTGAAAGTTCCAAGTTTAGTGTTATCATTAATTAATAACAGTCTAGAGTTGTAGGTGCATATAGAATTGTCTCTTCCTTTGATTAGTAAAAAGTAACTGAATATATAAAGTGCATATTTATTTCAGCTTCCAGAAATCTTAGAAACAATCAAGCCAAAATGTGAAGTGATGGGCTTTAAGAATTTTTCTTCCATCTCAGGTAAAAATGAATCTTTAAGATTCAGCAAATCTTTGAATAAGAAATAACTTAAAATAGAATTTTAGAGACTAGGATATATTTAATCATTTTCTCTAGTTGTAAATCCTTGGTTGTTTCTGTATTCTGTTCTGTGATCTTTAACTTCTCTGAATCAGATATTTTAATTCTAATAATTTGATTCGACTTGGTTTATTGTATATATTGAGCCTGTGCCCCACAACAAGAGGAGCCGCTGCAGTGAGAAGCCCCACACCACTAGTTACGGCCCACGCTCACCCAAACTAGGGAAAAGCCCACGCACGAAGACCCAACACAGCCAAAAGTAAATAAAATTGTATTCCTAAAAAATGCATATCTGACAAAGAATCTGTACTGAAATTGTCCAAGAACACTAGAGCAAACAAGCCCATTCATAACTGGTAAAGATTGAAATAGACACCTGGCCACAGAGGGTATACTGATAGTAAACTCTCCTGCATACTCAAGATACTGGTGGGATGTATGCACAGCCCCCTTTGGAAGACAATCTGACAGTTTTTTCAGTAACCACATGGGACAGGCACTGAATTCTATACATGACAAGTGGTGGAAGCCACGTATCTTCCCATTGGAAGTTACGGATAAACCAAAGGAAAGGTTACAAGATCCATGGAGACATCATCACAAATTACCTTTAACTGAATGTGTTCAACGGTAAGCTGGAATACATGTATGTATTTCCAAGTATTGTCAGCTGAGCATATTTAGCTCCTACATGTATTTTTTTTTCATTTATTTTTATTAGTTGGAGGCTAATTACTTTACAATATTATAGTGGTTTTTGCCATACATTGACATGAATCAGCCATGGATTTACATGTGTTCCCCATCCCGATCCCCCCTCCCGCCTCCCTCCCCATCCCATCCCTCTGGGTCTTCCCAGTGCACCAGCCCTGAGCACTTGTCTCATGCATCCAACCTGGGCTGGTGGTCTGTTTCACTTGATAGTATACTTGTTTCAATGCTATTCTCTCAGAACATCCCACCCTCGCCTTCTCCCACAGAGTCCAAAAGTCTGTTCTGTACATCTGTGTCTCTTTTTCTGTTTTGCATATAGGGTTATTGTTACCATCTTTTTAAATTCCATATATATGCGTTAGTATACTGTATTGGTGTTTACCTTTCTGGCTTACTTCACTCTGTATAATGGGCTCTAGTTTCATCCATCTGACTAGAACTGATTCAAATGAATTATTTTTAATGGCTGTGTAGTATTCCATGGTGTATATGTACCATAGCTTCCTTATCCATTTGTCTGCTGATGGGCATCTAGGTTGCTTCCATGTCCTGGCTATTATAAACAGTGCTGCGATGAACATTGGGGTGCACGTGTCTCTTTCAAATCTAGTTTCCTCGGTGTGTATGCCCACGAGTGGGATTGCTGGGTCATATGGCAGTTCTATTTCCGGTTTTTTAAGGAATCTCCACACTGTTCTCCATAGTGGCTGTACTAGTTTGCATTCCCACCAACAGTGTAAGAGGGTTCCCTTTTCTCCACACCCTCTCCAGCATTTATTGCTTGTAGACTTTTGGATAGCAGCCACTGACTGGCGTGTAATGGTACCTCATTGTGGTTTTGATTTGCTGACTTCAGGCTCTACTACAAAGCCACAGTCATCAAGACAGTATGGTACTAGCACAAAGACAGAAATATAGATCAGTGGAACAGAATAGAAAGCCCAGAGATAAATCCATGAACCTATGGACACCTTATCTTCAACAAAGGAGGCAAGGATATACAATGGAAAAAAGACAACCTCTTTAACAAGTGGTGCTGGGAAAACTGCTCAACCACTTGTAAAAGAATGAAACTAGAACACCTTCTAACACCATACACAAAAATAAACTCAAAATAGATTAAAGATCTAAATGTAAGACCAGAAACTATAAAACTCCTAGAGGAGAACATAGGCAAAACACTCCCTGACATAAAGCACAGCAGGATCCTCTATGACCCACATCCCAGAATATTGGAAATAAAAGCAAAAATAAACAAATGGGACCTAATTAAACTTAAAAGCTTTTGCACAACAAAGGAAACTATAAGCAAGGTGAAAAGACAGCCTTCAGAATGGGAGAAAATAATAGCAAATGAAGCAACAGACAAAGGATTAATCTCAAAAATATACAAGCAACTCCTGCAGCTCAATTCCAGAAAAATAAATGGGCCAAAGAACTAAACAGACATTTCTCCAAAGACGACATACAGATGGCTAACAAACACATGAAAAGATGCTCAACATCACTCATTATCAGAGAAATACATGTATGTTTTAAATATCATTCTCTAATGAAAGGGAAATATCCCTGGTGGTCCGGTGGTAAAGGATCTGCCTACCAATGCAGGGAACATGGGTTCAGTCCCTGGTCCTAGAAGATTCCACATGCCCAGGGGCAACGAAGCCCCCGTACAACTACTGAAGAACTTGCATGCTCCAGAGCCCAAGTTCTGCAACCAGAGAAAGCATTGCAATGAGAAGCTGGGCTCCTCTGTCCATGGGAATTTTCCAGGCAAGAATACTGGAGTGGGTTGCCATGCCCTCCTCCAGGGGCTCTTCCCAACCCAGGGATAGGATTCCTGCATTGGCAGGTAGGTTCTTTACCACTAGCACCACCTGGGTCAAAAGTGCCTAAATGGAGCCCAGGGAAACCCAGTTAGGAGAAGGGACTCCGAGGGAAGGAGACGCTTGGTTACGCTCAGAGAAGCCCGGCAGGTAGTTCTGCAGGTGGAAGAGGAGGAGGAAGCAGGCTGGAGCTGCGTAGAGGATGAAAGCGGGAACTAAAGCAGGGGCCCCCAGCCTCTAGGATCTAACGCCTGATGATCTGAGGTGGAGCTGATGAAATAAACTAGAAATAAGTGTTCGGTCACTCAGCCGTGTCCAACCCTTTGTAGACCACCAGGCTCCTCAGTCCATTGAATTCTTCAGGCAAGAACACTGTAGTGGGCGGTCATTTCCTTCTCCAGGATATCTTCCCAACCCAGGGATTGAACCCTGGTCTCCCGCATTGCAGGCAGACTCTTTTTTACCAACTGAGCCACCAGGGAACAGAAATAGAAATAAGAGTGCGCAATAAATGGACTGCACTTGAAACATCCCAAAACCTTCGCCCACCCCTGTCTGTCAAAAAATTGTCTTCCAAAAAAAACTCCCGAGGTCAAGGAAGGAACTTCAAGTGTACTCAGCTGTCCCAGGTTGCTGGCTTAGGGAGATGCTGAAGCAGGGGTGTCCCAAGAGGCAGAACCTCCCTTACATGGGGTCCTCAACAGACCTCTGATAGCCTTGGTGATGATCGGAGAGATTTGTTTCATTTTTTTAAAATATCCTTGTGAAATAAACTTCAAACTTAGCAGTTCTCAAACAGTCTTCCTATTAAAAAGTTTTCTTTCTTTACTGATCTGTGAAGTACTAACTGTGACAATCACTGTTCTAATATGCCTCATAGTGTTGCTGACACTATGGATAATAATGTGAAATTGAACTTATTCAATAAAAATGATGAAGCATCTGCCCTGTGCCCAGCACTTTCCAAGGGTTGGGGAGTACAATGAAAATACTCCATAAGATGCACAGCTGGTAGGCACATTCTTTCAAGAGGCCTTTTACATTTCCACCAATAGTTTATTCTCAATGTCAACACTTGCCAATTAATGACCTTGCTGGGTAGGAAGCTCATTAAAAAACCAGGAGCCAGGGTTCCTGGAAGGATATCCCATTCTCTCTTGGACACTCCTCCACCCTCTCTGGCTCTGTTTCCTCATCTGCAAAATCATGGACAACTGACTATAATTCATCCCTGGAACCCAAGCCTATTGAGGGGGAGGGGAAATATTACTCCAAGGCCTGGATGATAGACAAGATTGAAAGAAAAATATGTCATTGCTGGTTTTCAGTCAAACAAACAAATACAATGAAGGCCCTGGCCCTGTGGGGTTTGCCTAGGGGTCTAGTCTGGGAAATTCTTACAGATCAGGAGATGGTTCCGAGCTGGATTTCCACAAACAAGCACATCCATGCAGAAGACAAGCCTGCAGAGCTCTGTGCCCACCAGCCACAGGAAGAGCCTGCCTCCTGACGGCCAGCAGCATTTACAAGTGACCTCCTAAGGCCTTCGCCAAACTACAGGGGCACCTCTGGGTTTTCTCTTTCCCTCACTCTTCTGACTCTTTTCTTAAAAAAAAAAAAGCACATTTCTTCATAGAATGCCACAGTGGAAGGAAAATAGGCCTTCACTTTTGAGGCCTCAATTTGCAAAAAACTTGGAGTTTTTTTTTTAATTAAAGCACCACATAATTTAAAATTTTTACACATTCTAATTATTCAGTTCCAAAACACCACACTTATTGCACAGGGTCCCCATGGAAAGGCCCTCTCAGCAGGACAGCCACAGATTCCCCCAGGAAAGGGCAGCAGGGTGCCCTCCTCCCTTTCCTGCCTGAGTGGCCACCAGGTTTTTAAATCCATGCACCCTACTAAGTTTCTAGGGTGCAATTCGTGGACCCTTCCCTTTCCTATCCCAGCAGGTGGTCAGGCTGGCCTGCAAAGTGCTGGAAGCAGGGCTGGACCAGCCGGCCAGACTAAGGGTTGTGGAGTCCCAGCAGGTGAAATCACCAGGCAGGATAAATCACGTGGACTTCCAGCAGGCACTAGGCTGTTTGGGAAAACCGCGCGGGTCTGAGCTTTACGCGAAGGGGTAAAGTGGTAAAGGCCTTGACCCCAAAGGCGAAGCGTTTCTGCGATGACCAAGTTAGGGGGCTCTGAGACTGTGCCAACAGAGAGGGCGGAATACTTGGTTCCCTGCTCCACCGAGCCCCAGTCCCCTCACCTGTGGTCTGCACCCCTCCGCTCCGCTCACTGGATGCCCATCGATGGGTGTAAGGTACAGTTCCGGCGAGGCAGAAAAGGAAAGATGACCTCAACAGAAGTAGGTTACCTTTATTCAGGCAAGGAGGGGCGACAGTCGGCCTAACGACAGGCTGAGCGCCGAGAGGGATCAGGGAGGCTTCATACTTCCAGGGAGGTTTGTGGAAGCGATAAGGGAAACATCAACCAGGCGGGATATTTTGAGTATTCTTTTGTTGAGATGACATTTGTATTTGGGCACGGGGTGATAAGTCTTCTGGGCGGGTGTAGGGGGTGGAAGGTTTCCGGACAGGTGCAACTGGCCTGGAGCGTCAGGGTGGAACTAAAGTTATGCTTTGTTTTCTCCAAAGTTAGATTATTCAGCAAGGGGCCTTTGAGACTGTTGTTCTCTTTTCTAGGCCCAAAAGACTCCTTCAATGGGGACCCAGGATCCCATGAAATGGGCATTCCCAGCCACAATGGTGACCCCTGAGAGCACAGCTGGGACCCCCGGCCCCCGATGCGCCTCCCTCGACGAGCTCCCAGGTGTGCCCCGCCCCCACGCCCACTTCCAGGAGAGGCCCATGGGTCTCGCTACTGCCTCCAGGTGAAACACAATGACGAACAAATCCACCCCACAGAGGATCCAAGCTCTTTATCAGCTGATCTGTCTATAATTTAGGCATAAAACTATGACTACAGAAAGGAAAGATGACCTGACCTAGGACGGCCATGATATTCTATAGAACCAGAGAAAATTGGTTACAATGAAACTTTTTTTTTTTCTTGGAAATGGTAAAGCTGGGTCTTTTGCATATGCAATTAAAAACAAATTTGCTTGTTACAGAGGCCTGCCTAGGGCAAAGCTTGAAGTTAACCCTTTCCATGGCCTTGAAGGACTTCCCTGCTGGCTCAGACGGTAAAGCGTCTACTTACAATGCGGGAGTCAGGAAGATCTGGAGAAGGGAATGGCAACGAACTCCAGTATTCTTGCCACACACACCCAAAAAAAGGGGGCTCAAAGAAATATTTTAAATCTCAGGCAGAAAACTAGAAGATATCTGTCTATCTGGATTTATGTATGTCTTGAAGAAGGAATTCATAGGGCCTGGACTCCATCTGAGGCCTGTCCATGCTGATCATGCACGGCCACCTCTCCAGTGGACTCTGAACTCTGCGCTTAGCGCCTGTGGGAATGACAGTGGAAGGATAAGACCCCCTCTGGGCAGTGGAATCTTGAAGATCACATCCAGGTCACTCATTGCCTAAGAGAAAACAGACACTAATCACCCCTGCCTCTGGACAGTATCTATCGGAATGTAACCACAGGCTTATTGTTTATTAACTGGTTGGAATGTAACCCCGGGCTTATTGATTATTAACTGTTTGAACACATAACACGTGAATGATGGGGTTATTGTGATTGTATTTACCCTTCCTTTGTAAGCCTCAAGGGATTTGGGGTGGTGGGTTTGGACACGTACACATGGGGTATAAAAGATTTTCACAAATGCTGGTCGGGGTCCTTGGCTAAGAGGAGACTCTGCCTTGGGCCCACCGGTGTAATAAACTGCACTCCACTATCTGCATTGTCCTTCTGAGTGAGTTTGTTCCAGGAAAGCGTGGCTGTAACAGTCTCAGTGTGAGTCTTCTGGTTTTTAATAATATTGCTCAAGTTGTGAGTTCTTATTGAAATGGTCTAAAGAAAAGGAACCCCTTACAAATCAAGTTGTTGTAAATACAGGAAAAAAATTGACCTTAATGAATTTCAGATTCACGTGAACTGGGAAATAGTCAGTATTAAAAATCTAGCACTTTTTTTTCCCGCTACTCTAGTACAGACATGTCTAACAGTCATTAGCATCAAGCACAGAATTTTCATAGAGCCTAGGCTCATTATGTTAAAGCTGCTCTATTGCTGTATCCGTCACAAGCTTGTCAGCAAAGACAGCGCCTCTAAAAACAACAACGAAGAAAACTCCTAAAAAGCGTAAATGTGATGTGAGCTTTTAGGTAAACTATTAACAATAATTATACTCTAAAACATCTGTCTGTAATAGTCTCGACTGAAGGCAGAGGAGAAGGGGATGACAAAGGTTAAGATGGTTGGATGGCATCACTCACTCGATGGACATGAGTTTGAGCCAGCCCCTGGAGCTGGTGATGTACAGGGAAGCCTGGCGTGCTGCAGTCCATGAGGTCACAAAAGAGTCAGACACGACTGAGCAACTGAACTAAACTGAACTGACAATAGTTTCTCCAGATTTTGGTCTCTTGAGTTTCTATCGTTGTGCTAAACTAAGTGGTGACAAGATGTTAAATAGCTAAGTCATTTCCAAATAAGGTTCTGAAACATTCACTACTTGACAGGACCTTCCTCTTACACAGAAACTAAAGAGAGTTTTGACTACCCATGAATAGTGTCTGGTGCCATCCTGAGACGTTCGGTGTAAGAAAGCAATTTTTTTTTTTTTTTTTAGATATTATTAGTGTCTGGTGCCATCCTGAGACGTTCGGTGTAAGAAAGCAATTTTTTTTTTTAGATATTATAACTGATATGTATGCTCACCAATCTATAGAATGCCAATATAAAAGTCAGTTCTTGGTTGCTTAAGGAAAATGTATGACTTGTTATTAAAGAAGGTATGAGGAATGAAATCGCATTTGATGAAGGAAAATGAAGTAGTTCTGACTTACAGGTGGCAGTTTCAGGATGGGAGAAGCAAAGGAATGGGTACAGAATGGGATAAGGAGGTTTTATGGAAAGTGGACCCCCAGAAAAGAGTTTTGTCCCTAGTACAAGTTTTCTTGAGATGTTGAACTGCCTTTGCTAATGGATTTTAAGTTTCTTTACCTCTTAAGTGATCTGTTCTAGGTTTACCTTTGAAATCTTTTGTTCACTTTGGCTAAGTGGATAAGGATTGTTTCACGGTGACTTACGTGATCCTATCTGACTGTTATAAACCTTTTGATATTTATGAACAAACCTTCCTAAATAATTGACTTCTAGCTAACTTTGGGATGCTTCAGAGGGCCCCTGACACCTCCCAAAGAGAGATATTAAACAACCTGAGTTCATTTGGCATGTTAAACTACATGGGAAATGCTGTCAGAAGGAGTGATGAATCTTCCCAAGTTATATTATATAGTGGATGTTACTGTAAGGTATAATTCAGGCCAAGGCAGAAAAGAAGGAGAGAGAGATGGCATTTGTAGTTGGGCAGGGGGTGTTAAGTCCCAGATAGATACAACCGGCCTGGAGCCTCAGGGCGGGACCTAAAGTTCGGTTTTGTTTTCTCCGAAGTTAGATGATTCAGCAAGGGCCTTTGAGACTGTTGTTTTCTTTTCTAGGCCCAAAGACTCCTTCATTACTAATATAAGTATCCTAGAAGTTATGTGACATCCATGAAAACCTGATATGTCCTGGTCAAATGCTGTCAGTTCTAACTCTAGTTATCATATTAAAGTTCTTCAAGTCACAGGAGTGACCAGACTACTTTGTCAATTTCTATCTAATCAGGTTTTAAACATGTCTTCTATGGTTTCACACTGATGCCTTTGCAAAAATACTGCTACTTCAAATTATATGTGGAAAACACTTTTCTAAGCTTACCCATAAACAACTTTCTTTTGTTTGTTATCTGGTAAGCTGGTACCAGGCTGGAAGTTAGTCTCCTCTCTAGGTTAAGAGAACAAAGTTTTCTTAGAATGCAGCTTTCAATCACAGATGATGAATTTCTTTACCTTTCAGTGATTTGTATTTGTTTTTATCATCTGTTTTTTACTTCAGTAAAGTAAATAAGCATTATTTAAGATTATGGTACATGTAGGATGGACCAAGCTTTCCCCACTCCTGCAAATTCCCTTAAGCCCTCAGATGCTTCTCATGGGACTAAGGTCTCACTTCCCTCCAGAGGGACAATCCAAGCTTTTTATCAGCTGATCTGCCCCTGATATCAGAGTCAATTTGAGCACGAGTTGGTCTATAATTTAGGCATGAAACTATGACTACATAAAGGAAAGATAACTTTTCTTTTTTTCATTTCCAGCATTTTTTCATTTATTTTTATTAGTTGGAGGCTAATTACTTTACAATATTGTAGTGGTTTTTGCCATACATTGACGTGAATCAGCCATGGATTTACATGTGTTCCCCATCCCGATCCCCGCTCCCACCTCCCTCCCCATCCCATCCCTCTGGGTCTTCCCAGTGCACCAGCCCTGAGCACTTGTCTCATGCATCCAACCTGGGCTGGTGGTCTGCTTCACCCTAGATAATATACATGTTTCGATGCTATTCTCTCAGAACATCCCACCCTCACCTTCTCCCACAGAGTCCAAAAGTCTGTTCTGTACATCTGAGTCTCTTTTTCTGTTTTGCATATAGGGTTATCATTACCATCTTTTTAAATTCCATATATATGCATTAGTATACTGTATTGGTGTTTATCTTTCTGGCTTACTTCACTCTGTATAATGGGCTCCAGTTTCATCCATCTGATTAGAACTGATTCAAACAAATTCTTTTTAATGGCTAAGTAATATTCCATGGTGTATATGTACCACAGCTTCCTTATCCATTTGTCTGCTGATAGACATCTAGGTTGCTTCCATGTCCTGGCTATTATAAACAGTGCTGTGATGAACATTGGAGTGCACGTGTCTCTTTCAGATCTAGTTTCCTCGGTGTGTATGCCCAGAAGTGGGATTGCTGGGTCATATGGCAGTTCTATTTCCGGTTTTTTAAGGAATCTCCACACTGTTCTCCATAGTGGCTGTACTAGTTTGCATTCCCACCAACAGTGTAAGAGGGTTCCCTTTTCTCCACACCCTCTCCAGCATTTATTGCTTGTAGACTTTTGGATAGCAGCCATCCTGACTGGCGTGTAATGGTACCTCACTGTGGTTTTGGTTTGCATTTCTCTGATAAGAAAGATGATTTTTTGATGCAGATGGCCATGATATTCCTTGGACTTCAGAGAAAATTGGTTAAAATGAAACTTTTTTTTTCTTGGAAACTGCAAAGCTGGTTCTTTTAGCATATGCAATTGAAAACATCTAGGTTTGTTAGGTCAGTTTTCATTCCACTCCCAAAGAAAGGCAATGACAAAGAACGTTCAAACTGCTGCACAATTGGACTCATCTCACACGCTAGTAAAGTAATGCTCAAAATTCTCCAAGCCAGGCTTCAACAATATGTGAACTGTGAACTTCCAGATGTTCAAGCTGCATTTAGAAAAGGCAGAGGAGCCAGAGATCAAATTGCCAATATCCACTGGATCAAGGAAAAAGCAAGAGAGTTCCAGAAAAACATCTATTTCTGCTTTATTGACTATGCCAAAGCCTTTGACTGTGTGGATCACAATAAACTGTGGGAAATTCTGAAAGAGATGGGAATACCTGACCACCTGATCTGCCTCTTGTGAAATCTGTATGCAGGTCAGGAAGAAACAGTTGGAACTGGACATGGAAAAACAGACTGGTTCCAAATAGGAAAAGGAATATGTCAAGGCTGTATATTGGCACTCTGCTTATTTAACTTATATGCAGAGTACATTGTGAGAAACGCTGGGCTGGAAGAAGCCCGAGCTGGAATCAAGATTGCCGGGAG